GGCTTTAGGGGTTTAGGGGTCAGAGGCCCTACCGTAGAAGTTTAAAGAATGACCTATATTAAGATCATTCCTTAGGGTTTAGGGTTTAGGGTTTAGGGTTTAGGGTTTAGGGTTTAGGGTTTAGTGGTTCCTTATTACTCTTATTATAGTATAATATACCCCCAAAACCCTATTCTAATTCTTAAGGCCTCCATATTACTCTAGACCCCAAACACGAAAACTTCAGTCAGACCTCCGTCAGACCCACGCAGCCCTAAATCCTACAACCTGAGCCCAACCGCTAGACGTGCCCTGACCCCGAAGCCGATACCACACAGACTTCGCCCCCGAAACCCGTCGGGTTTAGGGTTTAGGGGTTTAGGGTTTAGGGTTTAGGATTTAGGGTTTAGGGTTTAGGGTTTAGGATTTAGGGTTTGGGGTTTAGGGTTTAGGCTTACAGCAGGCCTGCCCTGAAATGTACATGGCGCAGCGCTATGGGGTGCATGCTGCAGGGGCCCCGGATGGGGCGAGTGCTGAATTAGTCCCTGGTACAAAAGATATAGGCCTACGCTAAACACCCAATTCTAAATGTTGAGTCCCCTTGTACTACTCTCAAACTGCAAGCATTGTTAGCTCAAGCTAGCAGGCGTTAGTTTTGCTTGTAGGATGTGCTTCAACCTTAAATGGCACTACGACCTCTGGCACCCTAAGCCCGGGCCGGAAGCACGATCCCATATCCCCAACTTTTGGCGACACCTCTCATAATTACTCCAAGCCTCAAGCACCAAAAATCCGCTTTTCATCGCTAGCCACTTTCCGTTCCATCCCAGGAACGCGCCGTTCAACAACACAAGAAGCACGAGCCAGACACCTATTCGGCAACCCCAGATAGTCACCAAGGAACCCTATTTTTCAAAGAGAGACACAACAGTTTAGACCCCTTGTAACACAGTAGCCCTTTCACAAAACCCTCTAGAAAATCTTGTAATGCTTGTAAACCCCCGCACAACCTTGTTCAACCCTAGTCGAATTATACTCTAGGGGCCTTTATAATTAGAATAGGGTTTGGGGTAGATTATGCTACAAGTATAATAAGGAACCCCCAAAATAGTGTAGGTAGTTATTCAGGACCCTATACATTAGGCTATACCCTAAACCCTAAACCCTAAACCCCTTACCTCCTAAACCCTAAACCCCCTAAACCCTAAACCCCCTAAACCCCCCTAAACCCCCCAAGGCACACCCTGTCGGGTTTCCGGGTCGCTACACGCCTTCCGCCTGCCGTGTCGACAGCACTGGCGACTTGTCGGCGGGGCCCTCGGCATGTGAGCCCTAGGATTGAGGGCTTAGGGTTTTGGGTTTGGGGTTTAGGGTTTAGGGTTAAAGGTTCAGGGTTTCAGGGTTTAGGGGTGTCGGGTTTGGGGTTTAGGATGTATAGGGCTTTGGGTTTAGGGTTTTGGGTTTAGGGTAAGTTAAGGAAGGGGGCCTTCATAATTACCTATAGTACTTAGGGGGTTCCTAAGCCCGATAACCCATGCGAGGGCTCAGGGTTTGGTGTTTCGGGCGAGTAGTAACAGCAAGAACAGAGTCGGGTTTAGGGTTTAGGGTTTAGGGTTTAGAGTCTAGGGTTTAAGGTTTAGGGTTTAGAGTTTAAGGTTTAGGGTTTAGGGTTTGGGGTTTCAGGGTTTCAGTGTTGGGGAATCGGCTTGTTTCACCGTGGGGTCTCCATTCCTTCTGCTCCATTGGGTAGTCCAGGCTCCAAGAAGTCGGAGATTCGTCGGAAGGGTAGGGTTTAGGGTTTAGGGTTTAAGGAGGGTTTAGGGTTTATTGTTTAGGAGGGTTTAGGGTTTAGGAGGGTTTAGGGTTTAGGGTTTAGGAGGGTCGAGGGTTTAGGGTTTAGGGTTCTGGTTTAGATGGCTATAGACTTCCTTGCAAGGCTCTAGGAGAGCACTGTTGTTCCTTGGCTTTGAGGCCCTCTTGGTTTCTCGGGTCCCTCCGGGGTTGGTCGTGCTTTCTGGGCCCACAGACCTGCCTTCGCCTCCGGGTTTAGGGCTTTAGGGCTGTAGGGCTTAGGGCTTAGAGGGTTTAGGGTTTAGGGTTTAGGGCTGTACCAAGGCCCTAAACCCTCAACTTTACAAGCCCCGCTAAGAGTCTGGGCATTCCCTGCATGGATCGAAGAACCTAGCCGTCTATCGGGGTGTATGCCTTATTTTCATGATGAGGTTATATCCCAAACCTCAAGACCCCTAAACCCTAATTTGCCGCAGGCAGGGTTTAGAGCTTCGGGCTCAGGTTGATCCCTGGACAGTTTAGGGTTTCAACATTGTGGTTTTGATGGCTCCCAAACCCTAAACCCTAAACCCTAAACCCGAAACCCTAAACCCTAAACCCCAAACCCTAAACCCTAAACCCGCAACCCTAAACCCTAAACCCTAAAAAGCTATAAGGACCCCTAACTGCAGAAGCCTACACAGAGGCCTCGGCTCTTAAGATCCTTACTTAGGGGTACTTAGAAATAGTTTGTAATCTTTGGCTACTATAAACCCTAAGAAGCAGCTAATTTGTTTAATTGTTGCTAGGGGTCTAAGTTCAGTATAGCTTATGGGACGATGCGCATTTCGGGATCTTTGAGATCTACCGGTCTACTCTGAACTCACAGCTGCTTTCGAGAGGCGGGAATCAGGGTTTTTCTGTCTGTGGCTTCAGGGTTAGGATTTAGGATATCGGGAGTGGAGTTCCGAGTCTGAGGAGCTTTAGTCAGGAGACATGTTCCGACAACTAGGACATAGAGTTCGCGAGTTTTCGTGATGGCGGTGCCTTGGGTGTAGGATTTATGCACCTTATGCTTTACAGCTTCAGCTTCCTTGGGAATCAAGGAGCGTGCCGTTTTTGGTTCAGGGTTCAGGATCTAGAACTTAAGGCCCTAAACCCTAAACCCTTTAGGTTTACAGGGTTTGTAGCCTCCGACCAGCCAAGTCAAGACGACGCCACCGCAGCCATCTGGCTGACAAGCTTTGCTGTACTAATCAGCCCTAGACTTCATGAACCCCGGAACAGATTCGGGCTAGGGTTTAGGGTTTAGGGTTTAGGGTTTAGGCTTTAGGCTTTAGGCTTTAGGGTTTAGGGTTTAGGGTCTAGGGTTTAGGGTTTAGGGTTTAGGGGGCGAACCCCGAAAGATCCAAGAAGAAGCCCAGGAGATCCACCAAAGCTCCACCGTGAACTCCTCCACCCCTCAGCCCAAAGCCACGGTTTAGGGTTTAGGGTTTAGGGTTTAGGGTTTAGGGAAAGTCCTCAGCCGAAAGCCGAAAAGCCAAGTTCATCTCGAGGATCTTAGTCCAACCTGCAGACCCCGGAGGGCTTTCAAAATGGGAGAGTCCGAACATAAAGGGTACCTTACTTTTGGGGTCCTTATAATAAGGATCCGACTATCTAGGGTGCTATATTAGGGTCCCCTATTTTCGGAAACCCCCATATCACGGCAAGTTCAAGAGCAGCGTTTCCCAGTGCACGGACCATTAACAGAACCGTTTAACAGCCTTAAGCCTGACTCATCGCTCATTCATGAGTCGTTGCTGCCCGGCTGGTGCTGACTTTGTCACGACCGCGGCTCGGTGAGGAGGAGCGGCGAAAGCAACACGCAAATCCCCAAACTGAAAGCCTCTACGCTACACCAGCAGCCCCCCAAGTACAGTACCTCTTGAGACGGATAGTTGGGGTTCCAGTTCCCCAAACCCTAAACCCTTTTAGGGTTTAGGGTTTAGGGTTTAGGGTTTAGGGTTTAGGGTTTAGGGTTTAGGGTTTAGGGTGGTTGGGGTCCAGTTGGAGGTGTTGGCAAACCCAGACCCTCCGTTCTCACCTCGAAAGCCTTCGCCCCGAAAGGCCGAATATCTGTAAACCCTAAACCCTAAGACCCTGAAGCCCTAACTCCTAAACCCCAAACCTTATAAGCCTTAAGCGGGGCCGAAGGCCCCGAACCCAAACCCTAAAACCCTAAACCCTAAACCCTAAACCCTAAACCCTAAACCCTAAACCCTAAACCCTAAACCCTAAACCCTACCCGAAGGCGGCAGTCATAAGGCTCAGACTCCCCGACCCTCACAGCCCTGATTCTTCTCAGCCGGTTCCCCCAAAGCCTTCTTATGCAGCCAATATGGGAGTTTCCGAAAATAAAGGGTACCTTATTTTGGGGTCCTTATGATAAGGATCCTACTATTTAGGGTGCTATGTTAGGGTCCCCTATTTTCGGAACCCCCCCCATGTACCTTTCGTTTTGGGGTTGACGGCTTAGGGTTTAGGGTTTAAGGTTTCGTTTTTGGTGTTTTAGGGTTTAGGGTCCTGGGGTTTGCGATAAACGGCTCTAGGGTTTAGGGTGTATCAGGGCTTAGGGAATCCTATCAGACCCCTCCTACATGTTCAGGTGCACTGCTCGATTACGAAACCTAAACCCTAAACCCTAAACCCTACATACCCTAAACCCTAAACCCTAAAAACCTTAAATACCCTAAACCCTAAAAGCAGGGTTTGGAGCCCCCAGGTTCCCTTTTGAAGGGCTGGAGGAAGCGCCTCAGAAGGTGGGATGAAGGCAGGTCGAATCCTTAACCCTAAACCTAAACCCAAAACCCTAAACAGGGTTTAGGGTTTAGGGTTTAGGGCCTTGTAAAAGCCCCTGCAGAACCCCCTTGGTGAACCCGCGAGGAAGAGGCCGAAACCCCTTCACCCACTGAAACCCGCCAAGGTCACCAACCCCAAGAACTCTAAAACCCTAAGCCCTAAGCCCTAAACCCTGGACCCTAAGCCCTAAAACCCAAACCCTAAACCCTAAACCTCTTAGCCCCCTAAACCCCCTAAACCCCCTAAACCCTAAACGCAAAGCCCTAAAGCCCAAGAACGAAACCTCCGACTCTCTGCCAGGATGCCTTTGAACTACTCGAAGCCACAGCCTCAGCCCTTGAGTCACATGGGTAGTTGTCAAAATTATGGTCCCTTTTGGGGTAGGGTTTAGGGTTTAGGGTTTAGGGTTTTGGGTTTAGGGTTTAGGGTCTAGGGTTAATAAGTGCCGTATTATAACAAGGACCCAAAAAGGGACCATAATTTTGACAACCACCCACATGCTCTCTTTGGCCCGTCGACTTAGGGAGGCCCTAAGCGTCTATCAGCTCGGCTTCGTAGTGTAGGGTTTAGGGTTTAGGG